CAACAGTTGAAACAGTGCCTGAGCAGGAATCACTCAATCAATATTTAGCTGAATGAATTCAATAAATGAGTACTTCAGGCACACTAATGGTTGTCCTAAGTGAGTAGGGAAAGCACAAAAATATTTTAAGAAAGCTTTATAATAAGCTCATCTATTATGCTGTGTCTGTTCCTCCTTGATAACAAATGTTTCCTCTTAGGAGCTTTTCTGCTCAGAACAAAGGGGAACCACTTCCATATCTCTACATAAATCTAAATATACAGAAAGTAGAAATATCGAGTGGCACGGTTGAAAAACAACCATTTTGATGTAAAAAAAATACTTACATTCAACACATTCTAGTTCTCATTAAATGAAAAAGTAAATTAACCTTCTGGTAACAGAGCTTAGATTTGCTTAAATACTCTATCCCCAATCACACAGTAAATGTTTATGCATACATAATTTTACATATAAAATAACTTAAAATAGGCAAAAATTCTTTTAAAATGAAGCCTGCTTCAATACTTTATAACTTACAAAGTTTCTTCTAGATCATTACATAAAGACACTTCATATGCAGAAAAAGTTGAAATGAATTTATCCATTAAATAAAAAACACATTCAGAATAGTATTTAACTGTTAATGTGCCGAAACAACATAAACACCAAAAATTGAATACCTTCAAAAATTCCGAGATACAATCTGTTAACTGTTTGTGGCCTTGGATATTTAACTCCAGTTCATAAAACTTTGATAAAAGCTTAGACTCTCTGCCACACTGATTGCAACTATAATAAAACAAGAGTGATAAAATTAAGATCAGAGTGGGAAAAACAATAATGTTCTATTGCATTACACCCTAGATATATAGAAAGAAGCATTTATTACCTTAGTTCTCTTTCACAGAAATTGTTTACACTATGTATACTTAAAAATAAATAAAACCAGGAAGTGATTAGGGAGGCCATGTATTTTATGCTTAGGAAATGAAGAGTTATTTTACATTTACTCTTAGCATTCTAGCTGACTCCAATGTTAGTCTTTCAGCTCACACCACAGCCATAAATACATGGCAAGAGCTCAACCAGACAGTTCCCAACACCTGGATGGGTTCAACTGCAATTATCAGGTCAGTTGTTTACATGTTCCCATGGCAACATATTGCTATAAATATTTCAGGTCCCTGTGATAATCCACTAAAGCTATAACTTGGAACCAAACTGAAAATTAGGTAACATACGAACAACGTCTTAGAATAAAACGTATCAGGAAGAAGCTGAAACACACTTACACAGTTACATAAGCGTATTCCCCACAGAACTGCTGCTGGACAATATTCTGCACATCTGGGTTCTTTTGTTTAGACAAAGTATCTTCCAAAAGAGACATAAAGAGCTTTGAAAATTCTTGGGCATCCTACAACACAAGTTTGGGTTTACAAAAAGAAAAATCATATCTTGCTTTTCAACATCTGATACAAATAGTAATAAGTTAGGTAATTCCAGAAACTATCCGTACTTTGAGTTAAGCAATTTTGAACAAGGACTAGAGCGCTCTGTTGAATCCGTCTGTGCTCACACATGAATATTCAAAAAGGGGACCAAGGAAAATGTGTAATACACTGAACAGTAAATAAACGCTCTCGTTCAAAACAGAAAGAAAAAATTTAAAAGCATTTCCCTTCATTTCCTTCTACAAACATTAAGGAATGCTTGGGTTCCTTTTTACATTTTAAAAAAAAGAAAAAGTTCTTACCTGCTGTTGCCCTGTGTCCAAGCCCAGGGCTTTAACAAATCCCGATGGGTCAATGTATCGTCTATTACTGTTTTGCAACAAGGCAAACAAGTACTGGAGATGCTCACAAATTGTTTGAGGCTCATAATCTATTAAAAAAACATGTTTGTTTTTTCAAAACTGCTATTTTTTAGTGTAGTTCCTCTTCACATGAGAACATAATTAAACACCCTTACATCCAAACTCTATAGTGTTTTATTATAGTTTTAAAACTTTAAAAGAAACAAATTAGTAATCATGTCTTTTGGAAGTAATGAGGCAACCATGGCTGTCTATGTACATCCCCTAAAGGCAAGAGGCTGTACAAACATGACAACAATGACAATCATGACTACAGTTTCTAGAGGGTCAAATCACTGAAATACCCATTCCAGTAATAAAAGCCATACTTACCCATTCGCGTAAGGTGGCCAAATACTTTAATATAATTGCCTTAATATGGACTTGCCACAAATAGAGCAAGTGACAGGACTCTCACGAGATTCAAACTTGAATGAAGATTCCGTTAAAAATCCTAGAATTTTCAAGTTGCAAATCTTCACGAGTTGGGGGAAGGTATGCCAACAGGAAACATGACTCTCAAGGGCCCTAAAAGACGTGAGTATTATCTTCTGTGCCAGTTACTGATTTATATGCCTCTCAGCTGCAAATCCACCCTTCTTTGCCTGCTCTGTGATAACAAAGATGAGCTCTGCAAATATTTCTCCTTTGCCAGCTAGTGTGTGGTTCAGTCTTGTGGGTAGAGGGCGCTGGAGGGTTCAGTGGTGCCTCTCTTACCAGGCTTCTGGAAAGCAGCTTTCTCAGGACAGGCCTCTAGGTTCCTGCAGCCAACAAGCGGCCAGCACCTCTTCTGGTAGCTTCACAGTGGAATGTGGGGTGCTTCCTCTAGAATGACCACCCTGTGAATGACCTCCTGGGCATCCTCTCAGGTGACTTCACAGGGGGTTCCAAGGCCCAGCACCTTCCTGCAGGCAGCTTCCAGCAGAGACTTCCCATGAGGCACCTTTTTGCCCATCTAGTGAGCCCCAGCAGTGCTCTCTCCAAAGACGCCTGGATCTCAGGCCTGGGCAGTAGAGGTGAGGGTCTCCTCCTTGGGTGTTCTCTTTCAGCCTCCCGGGGTAGTGGCTGCTCTCCATGTCTGCCACTTCTGTATTTTTCTCAAGTTCTCTTTAATTCTTATTAACCAATTCCCTCATTACTCTAATTTCCTGTTAACAATTCCCTATGCTTTCTCTGTTCACATTATTGCATAGTTTCTGTCTCCTGATTGAACTTGGATGGTTTATCTCTTTACTATCAATTGGGACTTTCAGGAAATCAATCTTTCATTTGTAAAATAAAGATAAAAACCTTACTTCCTGGGATGCAAGGGCTTTGAAGGCTGTTAAAAGCTATTCAAGTGATTTTGTATCTACTCCAACTCTCTCAATTTACAGTTTAGATATTCCTTAAGATCTTTAACTCATACTCTGCTGGTTTTCCTATCTGTAAAATAAGGAAGTAGCTGAGCTGGGAACAGAATTCAGGTCCCATCATTTCCAACATAAAACTTTCCACTACACTGCCCTGTGCCTGTTACACTATTATAACAACAGAAATGCACACTCTTATCAGACAACAAGGTGAAGAACTTTGGTGAAGTATTAAAATGTATGTGTTTAGAAACTTTTTAAAAACTTCTTGAAGATATACATTAAAGCCACAATACCCAAAGAAGGTCACAGTACATCATTTTATGAAATAGAAATTTAGTTTTCACTTGTTATTTAACTGTCTTCTCATTGGTAAATTTATACTTCAGCAAAACAATGCTAAAAATTAAAAGTGATCCATTTTACATGACTCATCCTTTACATCAGTATTACCTTAAATACTTAA